TCGCAAACGAAACGAAGCAAGCACCGAAAATGGTAAAAAGAAAATACTAAAAGTAACAAAAAAGGCGAACGAAAAACAAGTGTTACGAATTTGTTTCCGTTTTCGACTGGAAAATGCTACTCAACTCAATGATGCCAGTGGTATGTATACTTTCTCTCTTTTCTGCGTCTATCAACGCGATGCTTTTTCATACACACACACACACGATCTCGTTTTAGTTTCTTTGCATCTATTCGCTATGCATAATATTGTTACACTAAGTTTTGGGGTCAATTGAAGCGGAAATTGAAGGCAAAAGGGAAGCAATGGAAAATGATTTTTTTTCCACTGCCTTTGCTCACTTGTGAAAATTGTGAGAACATTTTTTTACTCTTGCGCACGAACTAAAATGCGGTGCCAATGATTTTTTTTCGTCTATCGTTGATTGCTTTTCGATTATATTAATATTAAAATAAGAATGATTGCCACCTTTTTATACGCTCGCCGAATCCGATTTATTCCCTCATCTAATTCAAATGCCAACACTTTCAATGTTTAAGACATACACACACGTTGATTCGTTTGCCATTTGATCAACACACATATACAGTTTTTACTCTTTTGGTATCGATAAATCCAAACCAAAATCCTAACCACTTTAAAATGTGCTTGAAACTTACTCAAAACCAATAAACGTTCCAATATTCATTTAACACTCAATTTGGCACGAAAATTCAACATATGTGCGAATTTAACTTCGTTAGAAAATCATATTCCGAAGGGACCAAAATCCAACAAAATTTACAATTTCTGATATATGATTGAAAATAATTTTGTTACCATGTACATTTTTCAAGAAAAGAAAACCCACAGAATTTTGTGTTTTGTTTGAGTTGATAGAACTGAGGAAAATTTGGTTAACCATTTCTACGTAGCTCTAGTACATTAAAATGTAAACAAATCGCATTGTTCACATATTTTGTTTGTCTTTCGTCATTCAAATATTTAGCTTTCAAACTAAACAATTTTATGTTGTTTTGGTTTTTACACTGGCCGGTGACCACATTTTCAAAAATAATATTTTTAAAAATCCAACAATAACCACAACCACATCAAATAGACTATAACTGTTGGCTCAAGTCAACAAACGAATGAAAATTCATGCTTGATGAAATCAAATTTGGAAAATAATGATGGCATTGATGCTGGAATGTCATGCACTCGAAAATATCAACAAAATGTGCCTTTCAAAATTGTTCAATATTATTAGCCATTGTTCGAAATTTCATATTGCTATGACAAATGAAGGCAGAATCAGAATGCGGTTTTACATGAAAATAATAATGCTGCAACATATGTGTGCCAAAACAATTTGCGGCTGTAATTATCGTGACATACAACAACTACATTATGCAATTGTATGATTTGTCCGCATCAATTAGCTACTATTTATCCGCATACTTGGACGATGTAAAACTTGTGGCCATACTTGCACATTATCAATAGAAGTCGTTACCTCGAGCCATCAACGTAACAGAGCCTATACATGTCACAGTAGAAAATTCAGTACGTCTTTCTATTAACAAAGGAAGAAGCGTAATTTGTGAATTACAAAGTATATATGAGGTATGTAAAATAAATTACAAAAATGAGTGATTGAATTGTTTGGGTTCATTTTCCATAATTCAGTACAAACATGTGTTTTGAGTATTCCAATTGAATCGCAACCAAATTCATTTCATATTCATCACATTTTCTCACTCATCAATGCACACTAATTAATAACTTTGTTAAAATGATAATAACAACAAACTCCATTGTTTTCTCATCTCTCAATCAATTTACTCTAAATTAATTCAACCAAAAATGATGAAATTTTTCCATCGCAAACAATACACTCCATTTGTTCAATTTCGATGCATTTAATTCATAAATTGAATGATTTTTCACGAACTTCAAATTGATATGGGGTATTTGTGAAGCAATTCACATTATTATTCACAAAATATTTTGTACATATTATCAATTTATTAGAATTAATCGTTTTGAATGAAAGAGTAAATGCATGAGCATGTCGAAAAATTCATTCAAAGAAATTTTGTTCGCTTCATTTCATTCAAATCCTTTTCATTTCATCCGAATGTAAACAACAAATTTTATTGTTCAAAAATTCTATGGTAACATTATAAAATAACTGTTTAATTGAATTCAAGCAAAAAAAAAGTAGCTCTTAAACCATTTTCAATCAAAAACATGAGTGTGCATTCTAAAAACGATATTTTATTCAACTGCTCAAAAAAAAATATGAAAAATGGCATCCGGTGTATACGGTGTTCCGATCATGTGCTTAAATCAGTTGAATGTATAAATCATTTTGAAATGACATTGTACATTTTTTTTAGTGAATCGTTCAAACACCACTAGCTCTTACCTTTTGAAATAGAGTATGGACTACTTAAATAGCCGCGGACTGTATCGTTCATAATAAATGTGTTACACCATTGGCATGAATGTTTGCAATCGAATAAAAAAAATATGGGTTTTTTAGTTCGTACACAAAAACGCGTTGTTGACGTTGACATAAACTGATTGAAACAAAGTCTGTTCACTCTATGACTGACATTAAATGCAAAATTCAAAAGTGGAAAGTTTTTTTTCTGGGCCGACGAATCTCATGACTTCATTATAATTTATTCAATGTTGCGTTGTTGGAGAAAGGAAAAAAAAATAGTTAAATTGTTTGAGTGTCTGTATGAGCAAATGTGAATATTTCAAACCATTGATTTTTTTTCTCTGTCGCCGAGTTCGAACGTCAATCATGTTCTAAATTCTGTTGATGACATTCATTCACATTTCAACAGTAGGAAAAATATTATGGAACATATATATACACAATGCACATGATATGTCTACAGATTGCCTACCTGTCGTTCAACTAACAGCGTTCAATTAGTTGCAATCACACCGTGTTGCATTCAACCGACTCGAATTGATAACTGAATATTTTGCGAGATTTTTGTTTGTGTTTCTGTCGTGTTTCGACAAAGAACTGAAGACCACTGTCACTGATGTGACAAACGAAATTCGATGGAAAAAAGCGAGCATACACAACAATATCAAACTTGCATTGGATGAAGTTTGACAAAGGCTTTATGTGGAATACATAATGAAAAACACACTTTGTTCATTACCATCATTCATTCATTCATTTCGGGTTGGGATGAACCCTGTTTTTGCAAAATTTAAAAATTCATGCAACTGCTGTCAGAGCGTCAAAGTTAGCAAGTTGCAAACCAACAGTATTATTCATTGCAATGCAAAAACTCTGCAAAAACTCACGGCAAAGAATGTAGCCATCAAAAAACACTGTTTGACCTACAGTTATCATTATTGCCGCCTTTTCATAGTGAATTATGGATATGCATAACGTCAAACATTGATTTATTGCGAATAATATCTTTTCTAAATTTAAGCGAAATGTTTATACAACATGGAACAATTTATTATGACAGAAATTCGAAAAATCGCTCGCAAAGAGAGTTATTTGACCGCGAAAGAGGACAACGAACAAAGAAGCCGTAATATCTGAAAATTCCAAGAGAAAAACAGATATAGTGCCGTTGTTTGTCTATTTTTGTGACTCATTCTTTGTGACGAATTAAATCAGGCTTTAAGATTCAGTGGCCTTTAGTGAGTATGAAAAGCGCGTGTACGTGTTTTTCGCGGGATTACAGAAAGTGAGAAATTTGTTTGAACGTTAGTATACGCATTTTTCACCGAACAAAGTTTGATTTATCACAAAAAGAAAAATTTTTTCAGCGAGTAGGTGCTTTTTTCTGAAATATGTACAACGAATACGACTCCGAAAACAACATCAAAATGAAGGCTAAAAAACGAACCGCATCAATATGTTTTTTTTTGCTTAACGTAGGCCAAATGAGTGAATGATTAAAATATTGCCAAGAGTCTCTGGCTAAAATATTAAGAATGAAATCACACGCGTTGGAGAATAAAACTGAGTTAGAAGAGTTTTCGTTGATATCAACAACTAGTGAATATCACAACATGTGTATAGAACGTCTATTTTCGCATTCAATTCACATACACCGAAAAATAGTGGAAATCGTAAACATTCTATGCATAAAAATAGACATATGCCGCTCGGAATATGATGAAGAATAAAAAAATGAGACAAATTTCAGCGCAAACGATTTGCTCACAACGAACTTGATATTTACAGTGTTCTGACTCATTGTTTATCAATCGGATGAGTGTAATCATAGGTTTGGATTCGAAACTTTTCATCTCTTCTATCGTATATATAAAATCATGAAAGTGGTCTTTTAAATGATATTCGAGCTATAATGTCTAAATTTGATTGCCACGGTGAATAGCCACTTCATTTGATTGAATCAATCAAAAGAAACAGATGTGTTTTTGAATGCTACATTTACTCAGAAATGCTTCGAAACGAGAAAAAAAAACTTGCACATAAAATGTGTGGATTAGTCAAATCTATACTTATCGACACCGATTTTCAAATGATTGAATTTTCAAAATCGTTGCTTTAGTCTCACTTGACATCAACTTCTCCATAAGAACACCGAGGAGAAAACTGTGTGTTTCTGTTTACGAAATAATTTAAACGCCTTTTCGATGTGTGCTTATTTTTAAATCAAAATTTCCGAACTGTTTTAATGATTACTACAAATCTTATAAATAGATATGGGAGTGGGCCAAAGTATTCTCAATTTTTTTTTTTAATAACGTTTTTGTTTATTTTTTCACGAATGCCGCTCGAGCTGTAAGAGTGTGATTCCATGTAGATATGAAAATATTGGATTCATAAGATGAGAGCATATCGCTTGTGTATGTAAAAGCTAAAGAAAAAACTGCGATGAACATCGCACTTCTGTTAATGGATGTGACTTTCTGAATGAGTTATAACTTATCGTTTAAACGTATGACATAGTATTTGGTTCATTTCTTTCTCTCCGCTTTTTATTTTCTTTTTTTCATTTTGTTATTGGCTATCCTTTACTTTTCAATCAAAATTTATATTGAAGCCAAATCTCATACATAGTTCATGGGCGACGTGATTTTTATCTGAAATATATTTGTGAATAGCTCAGGTAGTTCAGTGTGTCAAGTTGAACTGAGCAGAAGCGATCGACTTGGATATTATTGAAATTGTGAAACAAATAAAATGTAATAAACAAGTGAAAAAAACGCAAAAATTCCTGAACTGAACCATAAAATTGCACTGAAAAAACAGTTACATTGCTTAATCACTTAACAAATGCTCAAATTTATTGATTTAAACCAAAAAAAAAATTGGGTTTGAAACGAACATTTATTTAATTGTCTTTCAGATATTTTGTGAATATTGAGTGTCCAGTGTAGTGTTAGTTTTTATGTGAATTTTGTGTGTGTTTTTGGTGCCAATGCATTTTTTCTTGTATTTGTTTTGTATGTGTATTGATATTATTTCTCGAGCCAAATCAATTTTTCGACAAACAGTCGTTCAGTTGGATGATTGGTTCAGTGTGTCGCACCGCATAGACTCTCGCTAATTTGATTAAACGTTTATCATTTTATTCGCTTTTTTTGTTCATTAATTTATGCAATTGCTTTAATTAGTTTAAATCAACAATTTTGAGACAAGCCTGAGTGAATTTAATTTTGTGATTTTATATTTTGTGTAAAAAATATTTTGTTGAGAGTCAAAAACAATAATTGTTTCTTACTTTTTTACAAACTCAAGTGAGCTGATGACTTTGAATCAATATAAGTAAATTGCATCCGAAAAAAAAACAAACAAATTCCATTGAGAATAGAAAACGAAGTAAAATGGTTAGTGTGTTTGTGTATCCTTATTTCATCGGTTTCTATCAAAGAAAAGAAAATTTTAATTTAAAAACGTGTATGTTCACTGAATTTAATATTGATATTAAATATTGAACAGGCTTCTCCAGCGGGTAAAGTACCAGCAGCACCGAAAACCGAGTCTGTTGTTAAAAAGAGCCCATTTGGTGCCACATTGGTACCTGGCGGCTCAGTTAATCGTCGCGGATCATTGCTTCCACCAGAAGAGCCAGCACGACGACCAAGTTTGCTAATTAGCGATGTTAGTACTACATTTTTTTATTATTATTTAGTTGATCTTGAAGGATGAATTTTTAAACATAATATATGAGGAATTTAGTCATTGATAAACAACAAAAAAATATTTAAATTTTCTCATTTCGCGTAAATAATTTTAATTGTGAATGTCCTTTGCAAGCAAGGAAAAACCTAAAAATAGTACCGTGACTAATAATTTATGAGTATGTTTTAAACAAAATAGAGCAGAAGAGATGCTGATACATTTAAATGAACAAATTAGTAGTATGTTGATATGTTTCATTGAGAAAGAAGTAAAAAAAGATCGAAACGATTTGATCAAATCGATTAAAATTGACGTTTGATCTTAGCTTTGGTTTCCATTGATTTGGTGCATTTTCCGTTCACACAACTCGGGCTCGATGTGTACGTTTTCCAATTCTAACATCTTAAGAGATCACTTGGTAGATCTTGTGTATGTTACAACGATTTTGAATATTTCTATATTCTTCTATTTTTAAAACAAAAATGTTGACACAATCGCAGCCATAATATTCACATTCGTGTGGCTTTATTATTTGTTTTGAAATAGATTCAGCTCAATAGTTTCACACATTCAACACACACAGAGTTGGATTTCATATCAGCTCATATATATTATACGTATTGGTGTCATTTTTTGACTCATCCTCATGTTTTGATTAAAATTTCATTTTATTCTATTTTTGCGACTGAACAAACAAATGTTTTTTTTATTTGCATTATACTTTGTCGAATCAAATTGGAATGAATTTTCAAAATATACATGAGTCATCATGATATGTCAACATTTTGTTCTCATAAATTGGTGATACAAAATTAAATAATTTTTGTTTTTTTAAATTTATGGACATCTTCAATTTTTGCACTTTAAACATCGTGATTTTACAAAAAACAAAAACAAAAACAAAAATTGGCTATGATGTATGAAAACATAAATCAAACCAAATGCGAATATTTCTGCACACAAATAAAATCGTTGAATGTCCAAACACCAATAGAAAAAACCACGTCCCGGAGAAGTGCTCGAAGATAAAAAGGTATGAAATTCCATTAACTGTGCCAATTTAAATGAAAATATGCAATGAATTCTGAAATTACAGGGGCGTAAAGCATCAATCAGCGTAAAGGATCTTGATATTAATCAAAAATCAACACCACTGCGTGACCTTGGCGATGTAGGGCCACCGCAAATCGTTGATATGTATGAAAGTTATTCAGCTGTTGAAGGTTCGAATTTTATTTTATTTCAACATTTGTCTATTTATCAAAAAAAAAAAAAGCTGTATTGTCTGTCACACATAAGTGAAAACATATTTTTATTTATTTAGATGAAACTGGATATATCAGTGTTCAAGTTAAAGGTACACCGGCACCAACATTCAAATTCTACAAAGGTGTAGCCGAACTGTTGGAAGGTGTTCGCTATAAATTCGTCACCGATGGTGAAACCAATACAATTACTCTTTGTATGCGCAAAGTCAAACCACACGACGAGGGCAAATACAAAATTGTGATTTCAAACTCACATGGCAAAATTTCGGACGAAACGCAAATGTATGTGTCAAAAGCAGGTTGTGTGGACTTCCGTGCGTTGTTGAGAAAGAGCAAGTACGCCAAATGGGGACGGGATAAGGGTGATCCAAATTGGGGAGATTTGAAAGGAGTTGAAAAGGTAGCATTTCCAACTTTACTGAAGATTTGCAGCATTAAATTTGGATTTGAACGATTTTTTTTTTTGTTCATGTTTTACACAGCAACAAGATCAATTTTTGAGTCCGCTACAGGATAAAAAGGCGAAAGAAGGAAAAGACAAGAAGGTTGAGTTTGAGGCCAAGTTCTCGAAACAAAATGCGAGACCAAAATGGTTCTGTCGTAAAAACGTATGTATAAATTAGAAAATGAGATTGTCATTGAGTCACAAAAATTTGATTCGAAATCTTTTCCACTGATGCAGGAACTGTTCATGGGCGTGAAATACAAATTCAGAAATGACGGTGATACATATCAATTGGCTATTTTGAATCCAAAATTGGAAGATTCAGCAAAATATACAATAGACATTGGTGGCGTAACATCATCGGCGACATTGACTGTCGAACCGCCAGATCCATCGTATAAATTCATCAAACCATTAAATAAGAAGTACGATGGTTTTACTAAACACGAATTGATCTTGGAATGTACAGTTAGCGATCCAATTGCCATTGTTTCATGGTATAAAGGTGATAAGAAATTGTCCAGCGACGATAAGTATTTTATCGACAAAGATTTGGCCGGTGTTTGCACATTGAAAATCAAAAGTTGCGATTTGAATGACACTGGAGATTTTAGATGCCAACTTGAACGTCAGCCCGATAAAACTGATACTAAAGTTAAAGTGGTTGGTAAGTAAAATAAAATTGGATTGATGCATTTTTTTGGGAATTATGAAGTATAAAATTATTGTTTTTTTTTTGTAGAATATCCGTACAAGTTCGTTAAATTACTCAGGTCACAGCAGAACGTTGAAAAGGACACTGTTACATTGGCGTGTGAGTTGGATGATCCTCTTGGTGAAGTGAAATGGTTAAAAGATGGTAAAGAGATCAAACCGGACACAAAAGGCGTTCAAATCGTTAAAGATGGTCGCAAACGCAAACTTATTATCAAAGACGCAAAAGTAGCGGATGCTGGTCAATACTCTTGCGTTAGTAACGCTGATAAGACAGAAGCCGAGCTTGTGGTCAACAAACAAAATAAATTTAACAAACCACTCAAGGATACTGTGGCAGTTGAACGCGAAAAATGTGTGCTAGAAGTCGATTTAGAGGATCCAACTGCGCCAGTAGAATGGAAACTCAATGGCAAGCCTATTAAGCCAAGCGATCGTGTCGAAATCAAGAATTTGGGCGGTGGCAAACATCAATTGGTTTTCAATAACTTGAAAATGGCTGATGCCGGCGAAATTTCAGCTGTATCAGGAAAATTGAGCTCATCATGTAAATTGACTGTTGAAAAAGGTGAAAGTAAACCAAAAATTAATGCACCAAATGAATTCGAAGGACCAATCAATGCACCAATTGTTCTTGAGGTGCCATTCAAAAGTAAGTATTTTGTATAACGTCATTTTTATTTAAAATCACAATATGATACGATTTACTCATTTTATTTTATTAATTTGTTAATAGTTGACGGCAAAAAACAAACACCTATCGAAGGTGTGTTGCTTAAAGATGGAAAACCATTGCCATCAAAAGATGTTGAGGTACAAGTTAAAGATGATAAAGTCATTTTTAAGATCAAGAAACCCACACGCGATCAATCGGGTGCATATCAAATCAAATTGTCGAACGGTCAAGGTGAGGATGTGAAAGATGTGAAAATCACAATGCAGGACGTTCCAAATGCACCACAAGATGTAAATGTTCGTGACGTTTTTGAAAAATCATGCATTATTGACTGGAAACCGCCAAAGGACAATGGTGGCACTCCACTTCAAAAGTACATCATTGAACGACAAGATATTTCGAAGAAGGGCTGGGAAAGTGTTGGTGAAGTGCCATCCGATAAACCAACCACATTTAAAGTCGATGACCTTACACCAAAGAAAACATACAAATTCCGTATTCGTGCTGTTAACAAAGTCGGTCCAAGTGAACCGGCTGAATTTAAGAATAGTGTCCTAGCCAAAAATCCATGGGATGAACCAGGCAAACCAAAGAGTGTTGAGGTTACTGATTGGGATAAAGATCATGCTGACCTCAAATGGGCTAAACCAGATAATGATGGCGGTGCTGAAATTAGTGAGTATGAAATTGAAGTGAAAGATAAACTCAGCAAAGATTGGGTTAAAAAGAAGCGTGTACCAGCTTCAAAAACCTCAACAACTGTTGATGATCTAAAAGAAGGTCAACAATATGAGTTCCGTGTGCGAGCCGTTAACAAAGCTGGCCCTGGTGAACCCAGTGATGCAACCAAACCAATTGTTGCCAAGTGCCGTTTCGTTAAACCATTCATTACTGGTGATCAATTGAAAACAATCATCATTAAAAAGGGTCAACAATTTAAATACGACATTCGTTATGGTGGTGAACCCGAACCAGAAGTAAAATGGGAAAAAGATGGCAAGGTGCTTGCGTCTGATGGTGATCGTTTTAAGATCGAAAAACCAGGTCAAAAAACTATTTTGACTGTTAACAAATGTGTTCGTAGTGATTCTGGTAAATACAAGCTCATTTTGACAAATAGCAGTGGAACGATTGATTCGGTTGGTGAGGTTGTTGTACTCGACAAGCCATCTCCACCAAAAGGACCACTGGTGCCAGAAGAAATTCGTGCCAAACATATCAAAGTCAAGTGGCAAAAACCAGAAGATAACGGTGGTACCGAACTTACTGGATATGTTTTGGAGAAAATGGACATGGATAATGGAAAATGGGTTCCAGCTGGTGAATGCGGACCGAATGACGAAACATTCACATTCAAAGATCTTACGCCAAAGAAGAAATATAAGTTACGTGTTCGTGCTAAAAACAAGGAAGGCCTATCAGACCCATTGGAAACAACTGAAGCCATCCTCGCCAAGAATCCATATGACGAACCAGGAAAACCAAAGAATGTTGAGGTTACTGATTGGGATAAAGATCATGCTGACCTCAAATGGACTAAACCAGAAAATGATGGTGGGGCTGAAATTACTGAGTACGAAATTGAAATCAAAGATAAACTCAGCAAAGACTGGGTTAAAAAGAAGCGAGTACCAGCTTCTGAGGCATCGACAACTGTTGATGGTCTAAAAGAAGGTCAACAATATGAGTTCCGTGTGCGAGCCATTAACAAAGCTGGCCCTGGTGAACCCAGTGATGCAACCAAACCAATTGTTGCTAAATGCCGTTTTGTTAAACCATTCATTACTGGTGATCAATTGAAAACAATCATCATTAAAAAGGGCCAACAATTCAAGTACGACATTCGTTATGGTGGTGAACCCGAACCAGAAGTCAAATGGGAAAAAGACGGAAAGGTACTCGCATCCGACAACGATCGTATTAAAATCGAAAAACCAGGACAAAAAACTATTTTGACTGTTAGCAAATGTGTTCGTAGTGATTCTGGTAAATACAAGCTCGTTTTGACAAACAGCAGTGGAACAGTTGAATCAGTGGGCGAGGTTATTGTACTCGACAAGCCATCTCCACCAAAAGGACCACTTGTGCCCGAAGAAGTTCGTGCTAAACATATCAAAGTCAAGTGGCAAAAACCAGAAGATGACGGTGGCTGCGAACTTACTGGATATGTTTTGGAGAAAATGGACATGGATAATGGAAAATGGGTTCCAGCTGGTGAATGCGGACCGAATGACGAAACATTCACATTCAAAGGTCTTACACCAAAGAAGAAATATAAGTTACGTGTTCGTGCTAAAAACAAGGAAGGCCTATCAGACCCATTGGAAACAACTGACGCCATCCTTGCTAAGAATCCATTTGATGAACCAAGCAAACCTGGTAAACCTGAGGTCGTAGATTATGACAATCTCAGTGCTACATTAAAATGGACCAAACCGGAAAAAGATGGCGGTAGACCAATTACTCATTACACTATTGAAATGAAGAGCAAAACTGGTGATTGGGTTGAAGTCTTGAAAACAGTAGACGATAAATGTACCGCTGTTGTTGATGGACTTAAGGAAGGTATGAAATATCAATTCCGGGTGAAAGCGCACAATGAAGGTGGCCCATCAGAAGCATCTGAAGCATGCCGTGAACATACCTGCAAATATAAGGACTGTGAGTACAGAGATTTTTTATTATTTAAACTTAAGTCCAAAAAAATCATATGATTGTGATAATCAAGGCTAATCAAAGTATTTATTAATAGGGCCTTTTGAGGCAAATTATCCATTTCGAATTCAAAAGTCGCCCCGTCTAAGGGGGTACAGTTTTCAGATTTTCGATCCTAGGTGCTAGTAGGTCACGTCTGTTGACTCTTAAAATCACGTATATTATATTTCTGGAGATCGCTTTCTTTTTAACAGTATTTCAAATACCAATGTATTGAATATATCGAGAGGAGAGTATGTTTTTATTCAGCCATTACTCAGCTATAAGTGCTGAATAACATACTCTTTCATCGATTTATTCAATAGATATGATAATCATATTGGTGGCATTTAAAAAAAAAATGTTTGATTCCTCAACGCAATTTGCGAATCTTCGCCCTATATTTTTCAAACTTTTCGAAGTACCAGATGAACTAAGACTTTTTGGTCTGACACTGCATTCACCGTGTCAATTCAGTTTCTGAAAAAATCATATTTTATTGTCTTTCGTTTTATTCAACCCACACCTAAGTATGTAAGTTTGTTGTAATCTTTGGTGTTATTAGGAATTGCATGTAAATAGTTTGGTATCTTTGTCGTCATTACGAGAAAAAAAACTCTCTTTAGACTAGTTTATGAATCCATTCACTTTTAGTTTGGTATTTGCATTTTTGGTCCATTGTTTATGACCTTCATCCTTTTGACACTTATAACTTGTAGTAATTCTTTTAACCTGGTGTGCATTTATGTTGTCTGCACATTTGTGATAACAATGAGCTTTCTGCACATTCATTTACATGCATAATTTTCTCATGTTCATGACGTTTAATCACACATGTTGCTGTGGTGGTTTTCCTATTTGACCACAGCCCCCTTACACGATTTTTTTCATATTTTACCCGGGGTCATTTTTTATGGAGATCTAAACATTCTTTTGATTTATACTTAGGTTTTTGGGTTTATTGTTGTTTCAAGAAATCCCTTGAAATGGTTTACCATGCCCATTGACAAAAAATTCCCATTTTTGTTCATATGGACCATATGATATGGTCTACTTTACTATGGCAGACATACAATTTGTCTCGTTCTCTAAGTTCTAAGCTCTGACTTTCTATTGCATAAAGTAACTGCTTTCATAAATTTCATTTTAAATTAATATTTAAAAAAAAAATGAAATTATGAAGGTATATATAACTCATAATGTGTGTTTAACCTTCTCGTGCTTCGTGCTCATAATCTAAACATACTACAGTCAACAAAATATAATCAATACAGTGTGATTTAAAATCAAATGCAATAAAAAAACGAAATAAAAATAGTAAGTAATGAATAAACAATCTTGATTTCGCTTATCGTTGTTGTAATACCATTTGTATACATTAGTAAGCGTTGTAATGCTCAAGAATTCACATTTGTATGACTATAGTCGCATGACATATCCAAATCTATCTCAAGCTTAGAAATATCTGTATGCGACGACCATCCTGTGACTATGTTATATAAGAAACTATTTATTTAGAAAATACTCTTAAATAACAGCGCCATCGATGCTTATGACGGTCCGTTTTGAAACTAGTGTCATATCTAGTGTGTACTATATTTATGAATTCAATGCGAAGCAACAGAGTATCAGTGTTGTGTCGCCGTATACGGATATATCTATCGCTAGATGTTGACTGCATAGATATATCGTCGGCTGCAGCCAAGCAAATGTGAATGCTTGGTAATGGCACAAAAATTTATGTGTTTAAATTCTTCAGATACTGAGGCAATTTTGGAATATCATTTTCACACATATTTCGATGTAAATGATCCGGCACAAGTTGCTCACGCAATCGAATTACGAAATGAAATAATAGCAAATTGTGTGGCAAAAAAAATCATTGCTATTCCACTGCACTATCACTATGATCCGGATAATCCAGTATTGGAGCGTATGTAAATCAAAATGTTTCAATTATTTTGAATATTGGAAAAAACGTATTTAAAGTCATTTCATTTTGTTTATTTGATGGAAAAATTAGATAACAATGACACTACCGGTTTGAATATGCAGCCAATTGGACCACATCCTATCGGTTCATTCGAAACTTGGGTACCCGTGGAATATTTTGCTAAATTGTATGGATGGTTTTTGCTGAAGCGTAGCCGGTTAACTATCTTTATTCATCCATTGACAAAGCAAGAATTAGTTGATCATACGGATAGAAAAGTTTTCATGGGAAAAACGTACACTTTGAAAACAAATACGCTAAGAGAAATAGTTCCGAGCTTTAAATCTCAATATGAATATCTTAAATTAGGCTACGCCAAGCCTAAAAAAATAAAGGGGAAAAACCTAGGGGTTGGTTCCTAATGTGCACTAATCCTTTCTATTCTTTCTGGTAAAACACGTAGAATTGACATGACGCACCAGTTCTCTATCTAATATGTATAATTTCTTTTTCGTTTGGAGTGAGTATGTAGAAAACATCAAATATTTCTTAACATTACATATATATTTTAGCTAATCCTTTCTAGTTTTCTTTATAATTGAGTTTGTGTCTAACCCCAATTGAAAAACATTATCAAATTATTACTCATATTGTAAATTATGAAGTGGAAAATAAATAAAACACTCTATTTAGACATTGGATAAAATTTGAATAAAATTTATATCAACACCAAAAATGTTGCTACACAATTGAAAAATAGTCATAAACGAATGCACATAATTGAACGATTCAATAAAATAAACATCTATTTTTGTCAGGTATCAGAGGTGGTCAATAATTTTTGTCAAAAACTATTGCAAACTGATATCATTCTTTTTGTATACATTGGAGCGTCATTTTGTACAAGCCTCATCCAGAGAAGTTTTTTTTTATTTTGATTTGATGAGAGAATTGTTTGACTTTTGGCAATGTTCATTTGTCGCAAATATGAACATTTTCGACTTTTATACCATTTCTTTCACCATATTTTTATTTTCGCTAAAAAGTCCCAAAGTATTCAAATAAATACTTTGATTAGCCCTGTTATTTTGATTTTTGATATCCGTTTGTGTAACTGACCGCACTATACGAAAAACAACAATGTAGCGCTACTAGCGCCACTACGGTTGTCTACGGAGTTCTTGTTAGCGGTGTCCACATACCGGCACAGAATTCCATGCGCGGTCCTATTTCATTCGAATTCTATTGAAAACATGGAATGTTGAGTGTTTTAAAAGAGTTACCGTCGTGGCGCTGTAGTTTTACAGTTTCAACATTATTTCGGCAGGTAACTGACTCTATTTCTATTTTTTGTGGAATATTTTTATATAGTGAAACCACTCATCGATCGAAATACATTCAAGTCAGTTACAATCAAGGCTGGTCGCACACACAATTGGTCTGTCAATGTTTCTGGTGAACCTGTACCAGAAATGTTTTGGAGTTGGCAAGATAATGATCCAGACGATGATACAGAATATATCATCGAAGATAAGGATTATCACACCGATTTCACGATTACCAACGTTCAACGTAGCGATATGGGAAAATATACACTTAAAGCCACCAATCGCAGTGGAAGTGACGAGGAAACTGTCGAGTTAATTGTGTTGGCACCGCCAACAACTCCAAATGGACCGTTAGAAGCGACCAATATTTTTAATAAGGGATGTCAACTCAAGTGGAAGAAACCGGACGACGACGGTGGTGCTCCGATTAGACAATACAAAATTGAAAAATTGGATACTAAATGCCCGATACCCGACAAATGGTTGCCTGTTGGTAAAGTTTCTGTCGGTGGAAGTGCAAAGGATGTTTTAGAATTTAACGTCACCGGCTTAAACCCAGGTTTTGAATACAAATTCCGCGTAACGGCTGTCAATGATGAAGGAGAATCCAAGCCATTGCTCACTGATCTTCCAATTAAGACGCCAGCCAAGGCAGGTGCTGAAATAGCTGTTGCTACACATGAAAAGAAAGGTAATCTTTTTTCTTAATTTTAATTGAATTTCTTCAGAAAAATGAGTAGTCCACAAGAAGCTTAAAGAACGTTAAAAATATTATCATTCTACTATGAAAATTATTCTAAAAATATTTTTTATTTTGATATAGATGGTAGTTCCGTATCAGGAGGTTCTTCCAAAACAACGACTACGACAATGACGGAGAAAACCAAGATAAATGATGGAGGAACCATACGTACACAAACCGTTACAACTACAAGGCATGTCACTCGTGTAAAAGGAAAGGCGGAAACCACTGAGTCGTACGAAGAGTACGAGGTGGAGTCGTAAGATAATCAATCCAGTTTTCACAAAGCCGCTAGTCAATGTACCCATATGATCAACTACTATCAAATTATGTACATTTTTGCAAATAATTTCGGCATAGCTCAGTAGCAATCGACAAAAAGTCCAAAGAACACTAGAAAAAAAACTGTGAAATGTTTGTGCCTTCTTTATATATTTTGCTTAACAATTTTTTTTTTACTTTTGTGTGGGCAAATTGCCAAACAGCTAAAGAATAAATAAAACACCTGTAAGATATAAATACCATTGTTTTTGTTAATATTTTTCCTTTTCACACAATTTTCACTTTCAACACTTCCAAAACATGACGAAAATGATTAGAGAATTTCTATTTTTAACTCTCTTTTTTTAATTTTTTATGGGATAATTCCGCGCAGTGAAACCTCGCATTGATCGAAAAACATTCAAAACGATTACAATCAAGGCTGACCATACACACACATGGTCTGTGGAGGTTGCTGGTGAACCAGTACCAGAAACGGTGTGGAGTCGGAGTGACGGTAAACCACTCACTTCATCTGATCATATCAAGATCGAAAACAAGGAATATCACACCAATTTCTCAATTATTAACGTTCAACGTAAAGATACTGGCAAATATAAGCTAAAAGCGATAAATCGCAATGGAAGCGATGAAGAAATCGTTGAGTTGATTGTGTTGGCACCGCCAAGTCCACCCAAGGGACCGTTAGAAGTAAGCGATGTTCATGATAAGGGATGCAAACTCAAGTGGAAGAGACCAGAAGA